GTATCAGGCAAAAACAAATGTCTCATATTTTGTCCCAAGAACACCGGAATTGCTGAAAAACAGTCTTGCTTCCCCTGTTATATTAATTTAGCTGAAAAACAGTCTTAATTCCCCTGTTATATTAATTTGGCACTAACCTCCACAAGCAGATGTATACACGTGTTACTACTGGTAGATTGGACCCTCCGAATCTGGGGTTTGCAGCACCTGGACCAGAAACCTGATCTTTGTTCTTGGCTGCTTCTTCTCTGCTGCAACACAGATTGCCACTAGGTGGCAGTATATTCCCTAGCTGCTTGGGTGACCCAGATGCAGGGGTAGTCTCTGCTTTATCTGAAACTGTAACCCTGACTCTTGCACCCTGTTTCTGTTTTCAATATAAGGCAAACATTAAGTCCAGGAGTCAAAGTTGCCATTGTTGGACTAATATTAGGGCAGAAGAAGAACAATAATCAGTATTTCTCTCACTGGCCTCTGCTGATCAAGTTAATCCTGCTTAGCCATCATGGACGTTCACAAGCTGCTAAACTCTTCTTGTTTTGGGTTTTCTCTCTTGTACATGAGGAGACTCATATGTCCACTTGATAGAGCAGAAATCTAGGAAACAATATAGTAATAATTTTTTTTTTTTTTGGTTTTTCGAGGCAGGGTTTCTCTGTGGCTTTGGAGGATGTCCTGGAACTAGCTTTTGTAGACCAGGCTGGTCTCAAACTCACAGAGACCCACCTGCCTCTGCCTCCCAAGTGCTGGGATTAAAGGCGTGAGCCACCACTGCCCGGCTACGATATAGTGAATTTTAAGCATTGGTAACAATGCTCTGTGTGTCTCCTAGTCTGAAAGTCCCCCCACATTCATTGTTTTCTCAAGCCAGACAAACCCACTTCAAGATTTGTTTTGAGACACCTTTTGTTCTGGCTTTTCTTGTCCAACGTAGTATGATGGCTCACTCTGGGCCGTCAGAGAACCTCAGAGAGGTCCTGTTTTCCTCCTGTTACTGACACGGGTGAAGCCAATGCTCTATCCTACTGGGCACCCTAATTCCTGGCTTTGCCCAGCAAAAGCAGGATCAGGGATGAGGCAGTCATAGCAAGCTCTCTCCAGGCAGAAGGGAAGTCACACTTGGGCAACGAGAGTCCCTTCCACGCCACTGCCAGCGAGTTGTTGCTCGTAAGTAATCGGTACATGTGTCGGGAGAGGATTCTGTTTCCTTAGAACAGTGTTCCTTATGAAGCTCCAAATATGCTTTAAGCTCCTGAATGCAACTCTGAAGTGATTTCCTGACTGAAAAGTAACAGAGCTAGAAACCAAGTTGCATGGTGTGAAACAGGACTTGGAACCTTTGCTAAGAAGACTAAAATAGCTTGTTTCCATGGACAGGATCCTCTCAATCACCTGTGAGACTTCACTCAGGGCTGGATCCTGACAGACCTGAACCATGCTTGTGTCCAATTAATGAGAACCTACAGTATTCCAGAAACCTTATGCAGATAGTTTGCATACTTTTCGGCATTTTACATTGGTAGACATTTAACAGTTTTGTGAGGAACAGTTACGGAAGGGAGGAAGAAGCTGAGGCCGTCAGTGCCAGGTCTCCGCCTGACTTCGGTTTGTAGTCTTCCCATGAGGAAGAGTAGGGTCCGGAAATGGAGGGAAGCTCTTGGCGCTCATTGAGAAGCTGAAGCTCAGGGAAGGCGTTCTATCTGGTACTTTCTGTGATACGCTCCATACGTGAGGCAGGTGAGGTGAGACTCCTGTGTTCAGGAGTTCTTGATGGAGGTTGGATGGCTCCTAGAGATGGAGGCAGACAAAGCTCTGGGTCACTGGAGAGAAGCAGCCTGAGGCACGTAAAGAGAAAGGAATCGCCGGACATGAGGTGTCATCAGGGAAGGCTTTCCGTAAGAGGCGGCACTGATTAGGATGGGGTGTCACCACATGTCAGGCCATGAGATTCTGTAGGGTTTAGATGTCAAAAGACAAAAAGTAATGGTTAACCAGAGTCTACTACGCAGGGTTAGTAGCTAGAGCACTCATGAGCACAGTGAGCATGGGCCCCTTTTTCTTTTTTCTATTATTACTATTATTATTATTATTATCGATTTTTATTGGCTTCACCATGTAGCTCTGGCTGTCCTAGAACTCACTAGGTAGATAATGTAGACCAGGCTGGTCTCAAATTTATAGAGATCTGCCTGCCTCTGCCTGCCCAAGTGCTGTGATTAAAGACATTTGCCACTACACTCAGCTCTCAAGGGACTTCTAATTAATAGGAAAGAGAAAAATTACTGACTTGGAGGTGACTTTTTAAAAAGATGCCAAGACAGATAAGATGAGCCAGGCTTACCTAATGTGGCCAGAAAAGTCTGTTCTGAACAGAGACTGTTTAAGCTGAAGTTTAAAGAATAAGAACCAGGGATTGGAGAGATTGCTCAGTGGTTAGGAGCACTTGCTGCTCTTGAAGAGGACCAGGGTTCTATTCCCAGCACCCACATCAGGCTCACAACAGCCTGAACTTTCAGTTTCTGGGGATTGGTCACCCTCTTTTAACCTCCATGAGTACTTATGTGCACACAGAATAACAGGCACACATAGTCACATAAATAAAAGCAAGAATTGCTAATGATCATCTTAAAAACCCGGCTGTGAAAAAAATGAGAGGAGAGGACATAGCGTTTGCAAACACCATTGGTGTGTTTAAAGCCTTGGGAGACCAGAGCAGTTAGAATTGATCAGCTATGGGACCAAGTGGTACAAGGCATTGGGTTAGGCTTGGGTTTTTTCTACACCCAGGCACCATTGGAAACTGTTGAGGCATCTTTGGCAAATATGGAAGAGAAAGCAGCAGGAAAAGCAGCAAGACCAGCTAGGAGGTCTTTTTTTATTATTTAAGTTAGAAACAAGCCTGCTTCATATGTCAGTCCCAGCTCCCTCTCCTCCCCCTCCTCCCCTGCCCCCCACCAGACCTCCATCCCATCTTCCCTTGGCTCCCCAGGGAGGGTGAAGCACTCCATGGGGGATCCTCAGAGTCTGTTATATCATCCTGGGCAGGGCCCAGGCCCTCCCCCATGTGTCCAGGCCAACAGTGCATCCCTCCACATAGAGTGGGCTTCCAAAGTCCATTCGTTCGCCAGGGATAAATACTGATCCACTACCAGGGCCCCATAGATTTCCGAGGCCTCCTTACTGACACCCATGTTCCAGGGGTCTGGATCAGTCCCATGCTGGCCTCTCAGCCATCCATCTGGGGTCCATGAGCTCCCCCTTGTTCAGTCAGCTGTCTCTGTGGGTCTCTCCAGCCCAGTCTTGATCCCTTTGCTCATTACTCCTCCCTCTCTGCAGCTGAGTTCCGGGAGTTCAGTATTTAGCTGTGGGTGTCTGCCTCTGTTTCTATAAGCTACTGTATAAAGGCTCGAGGATGACATGTAAGGTAGACATCAATCTCATTATCGGGGAACGGCATTTAAGGTAGCCTCTCCACTATTGCTTAGATTGCCAGTTGGTGCCATCCTTGTAGATCTCTGGAAATCTCACTAGTGCCAGATCTCTAGGAGGTCTCTTTTATTCATGGGAGAAGTGAAGTGACACCAGACCATAAGGAGGGAGAGGTGTTCAGTGTGGCTGACCACGAGGCAGAGGGACTGCTGGTTGTGAGATCTGCTCCAAAGGCACCACTGAAGGCCCTTTGACCCACTTTTCAAGCTGCACCAAAGCAGGCGCACAGGCAGTAGGGAGCCAGGGCCAGCAGTGAACAGAGAAGACTTGGTGGACTTGGGTCACATAGGAGAAAGGGATGTTTGTGTTAGCCTTTAAAGATCTTGGTGGGGCTGGAGAGATGGCTCAGAGGTTAACAGCACTGGCTGCTCTTACAGAGGACCTGAGTTCAATTCCCAGCAACCACATGGTGGTTCACAACCATCTGTAATGAAATTTGTTCTGGCCTGTAGGGATTCAAGCAGGCAGAAGACTGCATACATAATAAACAAACAAACCTTAAAAAAATAATCAAAGTGCTGGGCATGGTGGAACACAACTATATTCCAGCACTTGTAAGACTGAGGCAGGAGGATAGTGAATTTGAGGTCAACTTGGGTTGCATAATAAGACCCTGATTTTTTTGTTTGTGTTTTTGTTTTTAACCAGACTTTGGGTTCATGAGAGGGAGAAAAGTCAGATACACTTGTAGGGTCTCTCTAAAAATGCAACTCCTTAGGTGCCTGGTTAGCGAAGTAGGTAGTGCATCAGTGTCATAAAAAGGCAACTCCTCCGACTGCATGAGTTTGTCAGAAAGTAGCAGATGTCTATATAAACACAAGGCTGGGGTCAGGGCTGGAGAGCTGGCTCAGCAGTTAAGAGCATTGGCTGCTCCTTCAGTAGACCTGGACTTGGTTCCCAACACCCATACGGCTGCTCATAAATCTCTGTAACTCCAGTTCCCAGGGGAGCCAACACCCTCTTCTGGTTTCCCCGAGTAGCAGGCACGCAAGAGGTGAGCAAACCTAGTGAGGTAAAGCACCCATACACAGATACAAAAACAAATCTTAAAAAAGACAAGGCTAGGAAAGATAATTTCGTGTGTCTGAGCCTGTTTCTGGGTTTCTAGGTAAAAGGAGATACACGAAGAATATAGACAGCCGCTAGACTCTTGCCTGCTAAATCTTGCCTGGGTTTTGAACTTGACAGCCTGGCAGCCGAGCGAGTACTGTGTGCTCAGGAAAAGGCTGTGTTAGCTAACTGGTTCTTTTGATTGAAGCTTAGTTTACCTCAGTTTTGCAGTGTCCAGCTAGCCAGAAAGAGACTAGTTACCTGTTTGAGCTGTGTAAGGTCTGCGAGGAGCTGGAATTGCCACCCTCAACTAACTTAACGGGTAACGCAGAGTAGAGAAGCATCTCTAGCCTACTGGCGTCCTCTAGAGCGTTGCGGGTTAAAAACTATAACTCCCAGAATGCCACACGGAAGCTGATCAGGAACCGGAAGTGGTTCGGGGGCGGGGCCAACTGGTTGTGTCTCTTCTGAGCAAGGTGTGAGTGTCAGGTAAGCGGGGCGAAGTGGGGGGAAGGAGGGGAGACGTCGCTGGTTTTGAGGGTTGGCTGGAGACTACTGGGTCCCAACCCTGAGGCCGCGGCACCCACAGCCCTGGGTTTCCGGGTCTAGCCTCCCCTCGTTCTCAGCCCGCAGGCCCGCGGGACCCGCGTTCTCTGCGGCCTGGGGGCTAAGTAGGGCTAGGAAGTGCAGAAGGTGTTAGCTTTGGGCCCACTGCCCAGGATGAGAGCCTGTGGGAGCCCTGTGCAAGCAGAAGAGCGGACACTTAGTGACGGCGTTTGTGCTCCTCCGGTGGGACTTGGGGATGACGGAGTTAATGCAAAAAGTATTTCTTGAGATTCTGAATAAACAGAACATTTACTTGTAAGGGTATGGGGAAATCAGACAGAAAAACAAAGTAGGTAGTGCTGGATAGTGAAAATATTCGTGAGCTGAGGACGAAAGAGATTGAGGAAAGAGCATCGTGGAAAGAAAGAACAGTTTGTGACGAGACTTCGGGGTGTTTAGTGTGTTTGGGGAGTAGTTAGACCGGAGAGCTAAAGAAAATCAATGGAGGCGGGGCTAGCAGGAAAGCCTGCTCTTAAAGAGGACCGGAGTTTGGTTCTCAGCAACCACGTCTGGGTGACACATGACTGCCTGTAACTTCAACTCCAGGGGATCCGGTGCCTCTGACTTCCATGGGCGCCCCTGTACTAACATGCACATAGCCACATACATACATAATCTTTTAAAATAAAATAAAAATGTAGGTTTTTAACCCCAGCACTTGGAAGGGAAGGGCAAGGCGGATCTGTGAGTTGGAAGCCAGCCTGGTCTACATAGCAAGTTTTAGGACAGCCAAGGCTTCGTAGTGAGACCCTGTCAATCAACCAATCAACCAAATGAATAAATAAGTGGAATCGTTTAGAAAAAGGAAAATTGATGGAAGGCTGGACTGCTGTAAGTGAAATAGAAAACACTGCTGATCCTAGGCAGAAGGGTGGTATAATTTTTCAAACATTTAGATACTCTTATTTATATATCTGTTGCTATCTATTTATAAATATATATTTCCTGAATTTACTTATATATTTGAGGCAGGGTCTCAGGTAGTTCAGACTAGCCTCAAACTTTGGATGTGGCCAAGGATGGCCTTGAACCTCTGACCTCCCTGTTTTCTACCTTCCTAGTACTGGAGTTACCTGAGCTGTCACACTGGCTTATGCAACACCAAGGGTTGAGTCCAGGGCTTGGTGCATGGTAAGCAAGCACTCCACTGTGTTACTTGCCATCCTAGGATACTTTTTCCTTTTTGAGACGGTTTCTCTGTGTAGCCTTGGCTGTCCTGGAATTGACTTCTAGACCAGGCTAGCCTCGAACTCAGGGATTACAGGTTTATATCTCCTCCTTGAGAAAAGATTTTTTAGTTAAGAGGTGAAATGCCAAATCTTGGCATAGATAATGTCTTGTGCAGGTTCATCAGATCTGTATGTTTCTTAAGATTTATTTTAAGCGAGAGAGAGAGAGAGAGAGAGAGAGAGAGAGAGAGACAGAGACAGAGACAGAGAGAGACAGAGACAGAGAGAGACAGAGAGAGACTCATATATGCACACACAAGTCTGTGTGGGTGCAACTGCCATCAGAGTCTAGAAGAGAGTATCTGGTCTCCTAGAGAGCAGCTATAGGCAGTTGTGAACCTCCTGATAGGGATGCTGGTACTAGAACTGGGGTCCTCTTTAAAAGCAGCAAATGCTCTGAACCACTGAGCCACCTCTCCAGCTCCCAGATCTATGCGTCTTGATGCTCAGCAACACCTTTGCCTTGTGAGGGCTCTTAGATGATAACCTCTATCCAGCATGTACTGAATTTCCATGTGTGCCAGGATTCATGCTGGCTACCAGAGGTGCAAAGCTCAAGAAAGGTGCTCTCTGCCTTCAGGAGTGTGCAGGCAGATATGATATAGGTTGGTGTTGTCTTTATTTAACTTCTGGTATGAAAAGCATCTTCGGGGACTATAGAATTTAGGAACAAAACCAGAAAGACTTCCAAAGAGACATTATAACTTCAGTCCCCAACAGGGCCTGTCATGTAGAAGGCACTCAGTGCATGCTTATTGTCCAAATAAATAGTCATATACAGATAAGAACACAAAACGCCATGAAATGTGGCTGTTAAAATACACCTTTATTTATTTGGTATTTCTGGGGCTCAAACTCAGAGGTTTGTGAATAGTAGGCAAATGCCAGATGTTAGGCCTGAGAGGTTTTATTAGGAAGAGTTTTTTTTTTTTTTTTTTTTTTGAGGCAGGGTTTCTCCAAGGCTTTTGGAGGCTGTCCTGGAACTAGCTCTTGTAGACCAGGCTGGCCTCGAACTCACAGAGATCCGCCTGCCTCTGCCTCCCGAGTGCTGGGATTAAAGGCGTGCACCACCAACGCCCGGCTAGGAAGAGTATTTTTTATTTGTGTGTGTGTAAGATGTGTCGGTATGTGTGCCAGGACACATGTGTGGAGGTCAGAGGACAACTTTGTGGAGTTAGTTCCTTCCTTCCACATTTACACAAGTTCCAGGGGTTAAACTCAGGTCTCCTATCAAATCAGGTCATGTGACTCCGGTGGATAGAATTGTTCATTGAATTTTGGGTTGGGATTAGGACAGAATTTCCAACAATTCCTGAAATACACATCTCTGCCACTTTGTACCACACATTTATATGAAGTGGTATTCTCAGCTTTGTTAATTATAGAATCAAATTATCAGTCAACTCTAAAAAACACTGAAGCATTCCATCCTACAGTATCAGATATTCAGCCAAGATTCAGTGCTTTATATGAAGAAAATAAAGACATCCATCTCTTTGGGATGCAAACTTGCTCTCATCTTTAGTAAATGATAAAAATATTTGTACACCAAAGAATTGTTTTAGAATGAATTTGTGATTTATTATCAGTTGTTTGATTTTATATATATTATATGTTTTTATGTACTAGACTTGCATAAAAATTCCTTGGGTGAGAGACAGCAAGATGTCCCAGGACAAGCCTGATAACCTAATTCCATGTAAAGGGAAGAGAGAACCGACTCCACTCAGTTTTCCTTTGATATTCAGATACACTCTGTACATGGATACCCCACTACCAAATGCACACATGTCACGGACACACATACAATAATAAATATTTAAGATAATGTAAATGTGCTCTCGGGTAAAAGGGTTATTACAAGAAGACACAGTTTATTAAACCCTGGTCTAGCAGGGCGTGGTAGTGAACACTTCAGTCCCAGAACTCAGGCAGAGACAGGGGGATCTGTGAGTTTGAGGCCAGCTTGTACAAGCATCACTGACTTATGTTTTGGGAATTTGAACACCACAGTTATGATGCGTCTCCGTGTGTTTTCAGCCTCAGTCCCCCAAGGGACATTGCACATTCTCAGTGGTGACTGACTTTCTGCTGTGATGTTACTCAGATACAGGGTGACGTGAGGCTTGACAAAAGTAGTTCTGACCTGTCACCGAACCCCAGGAGTGTACCATACTTTTCTCCTGGCTCGGACCTTGTATGTGGTAGGTGCTTAAGAAGTATCTGCTAAAGGACTGATCTGAAAGTAAACTGAATCGTAATGATGCGGTGCCTTCCAAAGAACACAACAGAAAGTTGGCTCTCTGTGCGTATCCAGTCCTTGTCCTCCAAGAAGTGTGTTGGCTTCTTTACTGCTGGAATACTCTGCAGCAGGCCTCTCTTTGTCAGTCAGTCTGGGCCAGCACTGTCCCCTGCCCCTCACTAACACAGTGACACTCTCTGTCTTTTGGATGCAGGAGTTCCCTGTGTTAGTGACGTGAGTGCATGGACTGTACGTTGGAAGAGAGTGCTCAGAGTGCAGAGTCACTGGTGTTACAGGGACAAGGTTTCCCGGGGGATGGAGGTGAAGATGGACTCTCTGAGATCTTCCAGCTTCTGCAGATGGATGTGGTATATGAGCACCGAGAGGAAGAGGCCTGCCCTGCAAACAGTGCCACGTGGCGCTCGGTATGTACTGTGAGCTTGCCGTGACGAGTGGCCAGAGGCCCCTGCTTTGAGGGCCAATAGGGAGATGAAAGGAGTTGAGAATTAATTTTGTGTGCTCTAAGTTTTGAATCCATTTCTTGCTGGCTTGATTAAGGTTTCATTTGAGTCTTAAGAATGTAAACAAAAATTTAAAAGACAGTTTGATATGTGTCTAAAAAGATTAGGAACTCCATACTCTGTTCTTTACATTCTGTCTCAAATGAATTTTGGATAACCTGGAAAAGTCACTATTGTGATGGTGGGGTTGGGGTGATGTTCTCTCTAATTATGGCCTGGGTAGGGATATTATTCAGTTAGAACTGTTGCCTTGCAGACCCTGAGTCAGATACCAAGCAGTGCATACAATAGTAATACCTCAGCACTGGGTACAGTGTATATTCACCAATGAAAATAAAACAGCAAAGAAATCATAGGAGTAAGGTTAAAAATAAACACAAGCCAGTAGGTTTGATTTTAAGACAAAAATCCTTTTCCCCTCTAATTTTATATGTAAGTGAAGGAAGGTGACTCTGATGTCCATTTTCCTTTCTGACTCTTACGGTGCTCTCAAACAATTTTGTTTTCCGGATAATGTAAGAAAAATGTGCAGAGAAAACAGAGACACTGGGAAAGGATAGTCTCCTCGAAGAAAAGCAAAAGGAAGCAGGAAAAAGAAAGAAGCAAAGCCAAGCATACAGAACACCCAGGTACCATAACTGTGATTGCATAATTTATAATTTATACCATAGATATTGTATTACTATAAAATATAATAAGATAAAACAAACTCTATCCCATTGGAGATGGAGAAGACAAACAAGGAAAGGAGCCCAAGAGAAGGCACAGGAGTGTCACTCGGGAATCCCATAGAAACACTAAACCAGGCCCTGTGCACGCTGCCTCAGTGTCTGTGATTTCATAGGAGCCATGATCGTGCTGAGTTAGAGGACCTTGCTGTCTTTTTCTCTTTTTTTGGTTTTTCGAGACAGGGTTTCTCTGTATTGTTTTGGAGGCTGTCCTGGAACTCGCTCTTGTAGACCAGGCTGGCCTCAAACTCACAGAGATCCGCCTGCCTCCCGAGTGCTGGGATTAAAGGCATACGCCACCAATGCCCATCTGAGGACCTAGTTTTCTTAGTGTCCTCCATCCCCTCTGACTCTTTGCTTTCCCTGCCTTCTCTTCCCAAGGGGAAGAGGTTCCAAGGTCTCTTACTCTGCATTGTGTCTGGCTGTGGGTCTCTGTTCCCATCTGCTTCAGGAAGAAGCTTCTCTGCTGATCTATGAGTATAGCAGAATGTCACTAGGAGTTATTTTATTACTATGTATTCAGGGTTTTGGGGGGTGTTGTTATTGTTCTTTTTTGTTTGTTTTAGCCCAGTAGTACTTGGTTTTACCCTAGGTCCCTGGGATATCTAGTCTCTGTTCTTGGCCATCCAAGCAATGTTGACGTGGGCTCCGTCTCATGGAATGGGCCTTAAGTCAGATATTTGTTAGTCACTCCCGCAAGCTCTGTGCCACCATTGCCCTAGCATGGTGCAGTCAGGACACCGTTGTATATCAAAAGGCTTGTAGGTATTTATATTTATTACGTTTACAAGGTTGGCCATTAGCTTTGTCTTGTCTCAACTAGCTCTTATAACTTAAATTAACCCGTTTATATTTACGTTCTGTCACATGGCTTTACCTCTCTTTTTTTTTTTTTTTTTTTTGGTTTTTATGAGACAGGGTTTCTCTGTATTGTTTCGGAGGCTATCGGTCCAGCCCGGCCTCGAACTCACAGAGATCCGCCTGCCTCTGCCTCCCGAGTGCTGGGATTAAAGGCGTGCGCCACCAACGCCCGGCCAGCTTTACCTCTCTTCCATTTTACACCTTCTATTTTCTCTCCGTCTTGCTGATGACTCCGCCTTTCTTCTTCCCAGAGTCTTCTCTCTACCCAGAAGTCCTGCCTATATCTCCTGCCTAACTATTGGCCATTCAGCTTTTTATTATACCAATCACAGCAACATATCTTCACACAATGTACAAATATTTCACAACAGCCTACGTTGTTTGGGGATTCCTATGGGCCCCGTTAGCCAACATCTCAATTAGATGTAACCTAATCCCAGTACTGGAAGATTCATTTGGTAACAAGAGATAGCCAGTTGGGACTCTGTCTATGTATATATTATAGGAAGCGTCTGCTGTATTAGGTTTCCATACTACCCCTCAAATGGCCCTAATTTTAGCTGTATCTCCCTGTATTCCTCCTTTCATACCCCTTTCCTTCCCCTCCCCACTCGATCCTCCTGTAACAGCCTGTCTGTCCGTCCATCCATCCATCCATCCATCCATCCATCCATCTATCTATCCATCCATGCATAGCTCCCTATTCTATTTCCCTTTCCTAGGGAGATCTGTCTCCCTCTAGTCCCTTACTCTATACCCAATCTCTGTGGTTCTATGAATTGTAGCTTGGTTATCGTTGATTTAACAACTGATACCCACATATAAGTAAATACATAACATATTTGTCTTCCTGGGTCTAGGATACTTCACCCTGGATGACATTTTATAGTTCCATCCATTTACCTGCAAATCATAGATGTCATTTTTAACTGCTGAGTAGTACTCCATTGTGTAAATGTGCCACATGTTCTTTACCCATTCTTGTGTTGAGGGGCATCTAGGTTGTTTCCAGTTTCTAGCTATTATTGAATAAAGTATCAGTGAACATGGTTGAGCAAGTGTCTCTGTGGATGAAAGCATTCTTTGGGTATATGCTCAAGTGGTATAGCTAGATCTTGGGATATATCAATTTTCATATTCCTGAGGAACCACCACACTGATTCCCATAGCGGCAGTACAAGTTTGCACTCCCACCAGAAATGGGTGAGTGTTCCCTTTACTCCCCATCCTTGCTAGCCTGAGTTGTCACTTGTTTGTTTTATTCATGTTAGCCATTCTGATGGTGTAACGTGAAATCTCCAAGTAGTTTTGATTGCATTCCCCTGATGGCTAAGGATGTTAAACATTTCTTTGTTTCTCAGCCATTTGAGCTTCCTCTTTTGAGAATTCTCTGTTTAGATCTGTATCCCATTTTTTAATTGGGTTATTTAGTTTCTTGATACCTAGTTTTTTTAATTCTTTATATACTTTGAATATTAGCTCTCTATCAAATGTATAGTTTATAATAATCTTTTCCCATTCTGTCATTGCTGCTTTGTCCAAATGATGGTGTCCTTTGCCATGCAGAAGTTTCTCAGTTTTATGAGGTCCCATCTATTAATTGTTGATTGTAGCACCTGTGCTATCCCATTTTTAATCCTCTCTGGTATTTCTGTCACAGGCTCCTGCCCCCAGCACAGCAAACGTTTTTTGAAAGCCTTAACCAAAGAGAAACTTTTGGAAGCCAAACATTCAGGACCAAGACTATGTGTTGACTTAAGCATGACCCACCACATGTCAAAGAAGGTAGAATACTCAGATCCCAAGGGAGACATGGAAGGGAGCAGCCTCTGTGAAGTGGGTGACCATCGCCAGCTTCTACGGCACTCTAGTAGTCTGGAAGTGTCTGGTTTTCTATTCTAGGCTGCCGAGCTCCACAGTGACTGTTGGAAAGGAATGTGTTCTCTGGTTATTTGCAGTTTATCTTCTCTTTTGAGCCTACCACTGTGGCCTTGATGTTTTCCCTCTGGGTGGACCTGCTGGTTCAGCTCTCCAGACACTAACTCTTTGTCCTTCTGCTTGGAAGAGTAGCACTAGCTTGGCAGCATTCTGTGGGGAGGTTCCTGGGGAGGGGACCTCCTTGCAGTGTTTTCAATTTAGTTATTTCCTTTAGTGATTGAGGGATTTGCCCCGTAGGGTTCTGCAGATGACTGAACAGTTGCCACACGATCCTGGACAGACAGATGGCTATGGACTCACAGCCTAGGGAGGAGGCTATGACATGCTACTCAAAGCCACAAGGGGTTACACTTAGAAAGCAGTGGGTTGGCTTTGTAGTATCAAGGATGAGAGTCCCCTGGTCCCCCAGGACAATATGGTTGGCTTATTTGGATGACTTCATGGGCTGCTGGAGCCAAATAGGAATAAGCAGGAACTGTGCCTCATTAGCGTGATAAAAAAGGCTTTTTAGCTAGGGGCACTTGTTTCGTCTAGAAGGGCAGAGCTGCAGGGGGAGCCTGAATTTGGCTTTTGAGGTCATCTCAGTTGTGCCCTAAGTCAGACCAGCACATAATACTGGTTCTGAATTTGAGGCCTTACACCATAGTGAATCTTATTTCAGACATCTCTGTTATGTGTGTTAATGTTACATGTTTCTCAGAGAACCTAGGAACACTACATCTCTAAGGTTCTCAACAGACTCTCTAACTGTAGCCTTCTAAAAACTGAACAAGGAGGCAGAATGCAGTGATGTACTCCTTTAATCCCAGCACTGTGGAGGCAGAGGCGGCAACCATACACAAGCATACACAGAGCGAACAATGCAGTTTCCCTTTTTGTTAACTGGGAGAGCAGATTAAATCAGACCCAAAGCCTGTTATGCCTTTTATTCAGTATAGCATAAATCAAGCTAAATTGTAAAACAACTTTCCAGGATTAGGGAGCAAAGTTAAAACTTGCAACACAGTGGCATCTCTTAAAAGTTGGGGTGATGGTGCCATGTGTACTTAATGGAGCACAAAAGTGTTGTGTGTTGCTACTCTAACCTTTTTTAATAATTAAATGCTGAAATCACATAACACAAAGCTGTAGATAAAAGCAGAAGTAATCTTTCCAAATATCATTAAATGCACAGCGGCAGAGACAGCAGGAGGAAGAACTCTGTTTTTGCACTCATGAGTATTTCCAGAATAGCATCATTGTCCTAGCCTTGGTCTGTATGTGAGGTGCCTTAGAGTGTAGCACTTCTTCGTGCGCTAGCTATTTCCTGCAGTCGAGGGGGCCAGGCTAGCTCAGAGAGTCTTGTGCAGCAGCGTTCAGTGAGGGACTGCTGTGTGACCAGAGCTGGCGGGGCTGGCAGGAGTTGTCCTTAAGGTTGTTCTGCTGAGTTGTCCTCATCGCTTTGCAGGAATTGAGTAGGTTGGCGGGACAGATTCGAAGGTTGTATGGTTCAAACAAAAAAGCCAGCAGGCCCTTTTGGATCTGCCTCACTGGATTCTCAACTGACAGTCCCCTCTATGAAGAGTGCTTGAGGATGAATGATGGATTTTCTGCATACTTGGTAAGAATCCTCCGACACATCACCTGAATTATCTAAAAGTGCCGTGTCCTAATGGAAGGCTTTACTCTCTTCAATGTACGGCTTGCTCTCTGCCTATGCCTTCCACATCCATACACTTAACTGCATCTGCATTGCATTCATTTATTCCTTTGTTTAGTGTTTATGTGTGTATACCATGGCATGAATACAGAGGTCAGAGGGCAATGAGAGTTGGTTCTCTCTTTCCGCCATATGGGTCCTGGGATAAGACTCAAGTCAGGCTTGGTGGCTAGTGTCATTTTACCCACCGAGGTGTCTCACCCCTGGCTTAACCATAGTTTCAAAAAAAATATTTGGAAAAAAATTGAATCGGTAGTGAACACATACTGTTTTTACTTGTCATTTATTCCCTCTGCAATACAATATAGCTGGGTGTGGCGGCTCAGGCCTGTAATTCCAGCACCTCAGACGCTGAGGCAGAAGGACTGTCAAGTTTGAGGTTGGCTTGAACTGCATAGTGAGTCCTAGGCCATTGGGAGACCCTCCCTGTCTGCAAAACAAGAGGAAACTAACCCTCCAGCATGAGAACTATCTGTGTGCACTGGGCATTAAAATGGTCTGGAGAGGATTTAAAGTCTTCAGGAGCATGTAACTTAGGTGTAAACCCTGACATTTTATGTAAGAGACTTGAGCAGACTTAGATTTTGGTGTCTGAGACCACCTTGGAACCAATCCCCACGGTTGCTGAGGACAAGTGTAGTGTCTGAATATAGACGGTATTTTCACTGTTGCACTCTAAAAAGTCTCAGAATCTTGCGTTAATGTTTTGTATTACATTCTTTTCTTGTTCTTGCCCTTTTGGCAAACTGATATTCCCAGTGTCTAGGAATGTTTTATAACCTGTCTAGTTCATGCTATTTGGGAAACAGTCATGGAGAACAGGAAACATGGTTGTTAGATGAAGAGAAATGTCATTTAGAAGCAGTGTGGCTTTACAGTGTCTCTTAGGAAGAGCTACAGGAGTTTCCACTCTTTGCTGAGGATCTCATAAAGGTAGCAGCAGACATGCAAGTGAGAACCCAGATCTGTCTCAAGGAATGGCACTGAAAATGCCCTCTGTGATGCTCGCTGTGTAGCTGGGATAAGTTGTGGCAGCCTTCCCTGGGGAAGCCACAGAGGCCGTGGTGTGAGAGGTGTGCTGTGTGGCACTGCACAGCTGGCTGTCTCCTGTCACTGCTTCACCATTCTCCTGTGTCCTTCCTGTGTCCCTGCCTGGACAGACAGGTGGTTTCCTTTGCTTTGACTCTCTCTCTCTCTCTCTTTCTCTCTCTCTCTCTGTCTCTGTCTCTGTCTCTCTCTCTCTCTCCTCTCTCATGTGTCCATCTCACTTCTCTCCAGAAACCTGGCTCCCGTGTTCCTTTCACCAGAAAGCCATCCCCAGTGTAGACTCCCTCATCTGTGGTACTGGTGTGTGCTCCCTGTCCCTCTGGGAGCCCCTGGTCACTTTCTGTCTCCTTTCTGTGGTTTAAACGTCTGTGCTTTTGTGTGTGTGTGTTTGTTTCAACTAAGCACTTTGCAAGAAGCCCTCAGACCTGCCTCTCCTCAGGGCAGCAGAACTGTGCCTGACAGGATCTAGACAGGAAATGGTGTGAGATGTGCACTATGCTGTTTTAACCCTATCTGCTGTGCAATAATCTCTGTTTCCAGCTTGATGTCACAGAAGAGGACTGTTTTAGTTTATTTCCTCTGGAAACCCTTGTGTACCTGACTCCCGACTCTCAACAAGGTAAGTGCCTTTCCTTTCCTTCCAATGATGATTCGTGTGGTACTTGTTCCTCACCTTTTGTTTCATTATTCCCTGTGGCACACTTGTCACTCCATCCAAGAGTGGGGGCATGAACTGATGTATCTTATGGGCACATATCCAATGCTGCAGAGATTAGTTCCATCTTCAGTTGGACTCTGTATGCTGCCTGGCAATCCAGTTTCCTGACCAACTTGGGGGTCAGTGTTTATATCTGTATTTTATATATGTACATATTATATTACACACACAGAATATCCTCTGTTTCACATAATTCTCACACTTACTAGTATTAGGTTGGTCATGGTGCTGTCATATTTATCTCACATTTCTCTGTGGTTTTGTTTCTTTTCTAACATAATGTCCCTTTGAGCATACCATTCATTTTTCAGATCTGCCTGTCTGCTTGTCTTCAGAGGGTTAGCTTTTTGTTGTGTTGTATTAGTTGTTTTAATATTGGTGATATTTCTTTCCTTTTGCTTTCTTTGGATTTAGAAATTATAAAACCAGTTTGATCTCAGTGGCCTTCATTTTTTCATTAGCCCTTGAAGACATTGATCCAAACACGGTTTACATCATTGGTGGACTTGTCGATGAAAGCATTCAGAAGGTAAGTATACGTTTTAGCCCGTTTATAGTGGAGGCAATTGCCCTGTTATCTTACCCAGAAGGCCTAGCAGCTGCATGGCAATAAGAAGAGCTTGTTGTTCCTAGAGCGCCCCTCCTGCCTGGTGATTTAGGCACAGCCGTTTTTCTGCATCCTCTCTCTCTCTCTTTTTTTAATTATTATTATTATTATTTATTTTTAAGTTTAAATTTAGATAAGAAACAAGGTTGCTTCACAAGTCAGTTCCAGGTCCCTCTCCCTTTCCCTCCCTTCCTCCCATGCCCTCCCCGCAACCCCCCCCATTATCCCCTCATTTCCCCAGGGAGGGTGAGGCCCTCCATGGGGGTGTCCATAGTCTGTCATTTCTTTCAGGGCAGGGTCTAGACCCTCCCCCAAGAGTTCAGGGTGAGAGTGCATCTCACATTGTTGGATGGGAGTCCAAAGTCCGTGTGTATATTCGGGATGAGTACTGATCTACTGCCCAAGGCTCAATACATTACCTAGGCCTCCTCACTGACACCCACATTCAGGGGATCTTGATCAGTCCCATGCTGGATTACCAGGCTGATGCCTGGGATTCAAGAGTTAACCTTTGTCAGGTCAGCTGTTTCTGGGGGTTTAACCAACTCTCTTATTTCTGCCAGGATGACTCTGATCTCGGCTCATCATTTTTTCCCACACTTTGTTCTCTGTGAGGGATTAGTTGGCTTCTTCTAGGCTAACTTTTCTGCTGGTGTGAGTCTTATTCCCACAGGGCCTCAAATCAGTTGGATTATCCAGACTTCTTCTTTAGGTTTTTTTTTAATGTATATGACTGTTTTGTTCACATGTATATCTGTGTGTTATGTGCATGCCTGGTCAGAAGAGGGCATCAAATCCTCTGGAACTGTAGGTACTGGGAATCGAACCCAGGTCCTCTGTAAGAACAACAAATGCTCTTAACCGCCGAGCCATCTCTCCAGCCCCTTGTTCAGGCTTCTTATGTTGAATTAGAGTTTCACTGGAATAATTAGGCTGTTACTGAAGTTTTAACTTTTGTTTCTGTTATACAAGTATTAATTTTTTGTTTATTTTTACTAACATACATTGCATAGTTTTTAAGTTGAATAATGATATAATAATTTACAGTTGCAAAAAGGAACATAGTGAGAAATAAGTATCTTTCCCGCTTTGGACCTATCAATCCTCAAGGCACCATGGTTCACTTTTCTTAGGTATATTTGTTGCTTTACTTTACATGTGTTTATCATGTATATAGAAGTATTTTGTGTGAGACATACATATATGAAGCACATGTTTAACACAGATGATACTTAGCTTTAAAACTAAGTATAATAAGTTGGGCAGTGGTGGCGCACGCCTTTAATCCCAGCACTAGGGAGGTAGAGACAGGCAGATTTCTGTGAGTTTGAGGCCAGCCTGGTCTACAGAGCGAGTTCCAGGACAGCCAGGGTACTTACACAGAGAACCACCCCAACGCCCCCACCCACAAAACAAAACAAAACAAAAAAACCCTAAGTACAGCTAACTGTTTAATACTAAGTGTTCTGCCAGACATGGTGGCACATGCGCACATTTAATCCAGCGCTCGGGAGGCAGAGGCAGGCGGATCTCTGTGAGTTCTAGGCCAGCCTGGTCTACAGAGCGAGTTCCAGGACAGTCAGGGATGCACAGAGAAACCCTGTCTTGAAAAAAAACAAAACAAGACAAAAAAACCTAAGTGTTCCATAATGTCATAACAATAATCTAAAAATGGGCAGGGGGTCTCCTAAAGGAAAAACCTGCTAATAGAAATTAGAAAGACATTGTTTTTGTTGCTCCCAATGTGATCACTGATTCAGGCAGCTGATTAAGCTATCTGAGATACATGCTCTCAGAATGTCCCCTGGCAGAGTACCAAGGCAAAATGTCCCATTACAATAAAGCCGTTGTTGGTTATCATCTCCAAATTTGATGAGGAAATACTCTTTCCTGTCAAGTATTCTTGCTCAAATTTCGAAAAATAAAAATTTATGAGAAACCAAGAAGTCTAGGATGAGACATTCTGTAAGACAAAGGCCACTGTAATAGAAACTAAAACAGACAGGATGTTTTAAAGGAATGTAACGGAATAAAGCACATTAAATACAGTGACATATCTGTGGCCCCATATTCCTGGGAGGCTAAGGCAGGAGAGTCACGTGAGCCGTTCTTACGAACAAAAACCTGTCAAGTGTACTGTGGATGATTGGATTACAGATTAGGGGAAAGCTTTAGAAGAGGCATTTGGGGGACTTTAATAATGGTGGATGTTAAATATCTTACAGGGAAAGTGCTGTGTCAAAGGCAGAGAATGCCCTTGTTCTCCAGTGAAAGGTTAAGTATTAAGTGATGGAATGTTAGATGTCTGTAGCTCACTTTCACACAGATATGATAATGTTAGCTGGTGAATGTAGATGACAGGAATGAGAATTAATGATTCAGGTTTCTTAGATTTGAGATTTTGAAGTCAATAGCTGGGAGTAGCAGAGCTTTATTGCAGAGGTAGGGTCACTACTTCCTTCTGCCTTGTCCAAGTCCCCTGAGACAGGTAGATGCCTCTTTAGAGAAGTGAACAGTGTGCTGTTCTACCAACTAAAAGTAGTAATGTGTGGAATCCTCATAGTTGGTGGTGTCTATTACAGTGAATATCTTCACTTGTAATTTTTATAATATGACAATTTAATTTACAGAAGGTGACATTTCAAAAAGCTCGAGAATACTCTGTGAAGACAGCCCGCTTGCCAATCCAGGAATACATGGTCAAGCGTCAGAATGAGAAAAACTACCATTCAGAAATACTGGCCATCAATCAAGGTACTGCTCATATGGTCCAACCCAAATGTTTTTCCTTCCTGTCATTGTTTAGTCCTTTTTCTTGGATGATCACTGTGTTTTCTGTGTACTCAGACTGCTGCTTAGCTTTGAGCCATGCCCCTTGACGCAGTCTCCTGTGACTCATGTACCCAGACTCTCCTTCATGTACTCACTGGCAGGCGTCTGACCACCGAGAGGCACTCCTCATTTTCTTTTTGTTCTTGGCTCCAAGGATCCCTTGCCTAGATTGTCATGCCGTCTGCTTTCCCCGGCTGTATCTCAGGAGCATCTTAGCGGCCCTGCCTCTCACTGTGTTCCTGCTGCAGGGTTAGCTATTCCCAAGTCTCCCCTCCCAGTGTAAGCGAGTCCTTGTGAGTAGGCAGGGCTGTGTCCTTTTCCTCATGATCCTCCACGATCTAGCACGTAACTCAGAGCACATTTGGTCAGTGATGTATTCCCCACCACCCTTTTGTTCCTTAGTCCTTCACCAGTCTTTACTCCTCCCTCAGTGGTCACCAGCTTCTGTTTACCCTCCAACAGTGTTTGACGTCCTGTCCACCTACTTTGAGACTCACAACTGGCCTGAAGCATTGAAGAAAGGAGTTTCTCCAGGGAAAGGCTACATTCTCCGGAATTCCATGGAATGATGGGCAGCCTCCAGCTGTAGTGGGTGGAACGCCAGAGGTGCTTAGACCAAAGGACAGGGCAAAGGGTGGCAGTGGCACACACTTGCCTTTACTTGCTATCATGGATTTTGAAAGCCATTAATGGCAAGGACCACATTTTATGCTTTGTGTCGCCTACATGCCTGGCTCACTGGAAATGCCCGATAAAACAGTACTATGGTTTAAAAAAAAGTTTTCAGGAATTGTCCAAATACATGGATGGCATTTTGGATGTTAATTTGTTTTGTACATTAATCTCTATTTGTGAAAGGCCTACTTTTAGAGGCGTTTTGTCAGAGGTTTTCATTGACCTTGCATAAAATGACTTTTCTCTCCCCTGTAGGTGTGCTGATTCTTCAGCAGATCAGACACACACTGCACGTAAGCTTAGCTGTCTTAGCCCGGCCCGGCCCTCTTTAAGCCTTTAGAGCCCTTTGTTCTTTCCTGTGCTCTCCCCGTCCTCTTTCTGATTACCGTCATGGAGGGCTCCGCTCTTCTGGTCATAGAAATAGCCTTGTGTGGCCTTCAGGGCCTTATACAAACTGTGCTGTGCACACAAACACCCAGATCTAATCAAAACGCCCACATTGTTACTGATAAACTCAGAATAAAGCAGCTAGAAAAGAATGCTGCGTTCTGACACTCAAGCACACTAGTCTACAGACAGACTTCTCACATTCAGATACAGCCATCTCTGTTACTCCCATAAAGGACCTCTCAGCCTACTTCCTTCTCCTTTCCCATTGAATGCCCTGGGAGCTATCACTTGATAAAATCTGATATTGACAAATAGACTAGGCCTCAGGAAACCCCTAAGGTTTTCAGCATACTGGATGGTTCTCACACTGGATGGATGCTTCTCATACTGGATGGGACTAGGCCACATAGGCTTCAGGGGTGTATAACTCATTCTCAGAGAATCACTGAACTTTTATCACTGTCAGTCTACATTTTTATCTCTGGAGGCTTTAACATAAATAGCATAGAATTTTCTTTCTGACTCAAGTCCAAACCTCTCTTTATCTAAAAACTAAGGACATAGTTATTTTAAGACTGTAGGAATAGCCGGGCGTTGGTGGTGCACACTTTTAATCCCAGCACTCGGGAGGCAGAGGCATCGGATCTCTGTGAGTTCGAGGCCAGCCTGGTCTACAGAGTGAGTTCCAGGACAGCCTCCAAAACAATAGAGAAACCCTGTCTCGAAAAACCTAAAAAAAAAAAGATTGTAGGAATTGATGTTAGCTAAGTAACATTTAGCCAGACTAGAATCAGAAATCCTCATCACACTGTTACTTAAGAAAAAAGCTGAAGGCCGGACAGTGGTGGTGCATGCCTTTAATCCCAGCACTCAGGAGGCAGAGGTAAATTCAAAGTCAGCCTGGTCTACAGAGCGAGTGCCAGGATAGGCTCCAAAGCTACACAAAGAAAGCTACACAAAAAAAGATGACATAAAAAAATACCTTGTATTGCCAAGTGAAATACCTGTAATTACTAGTTTTTTTTCTTATAATAGCTATGAAAGAACTATATCCTATAGTTTGAAGTACACAGTATGTTATAATATCCTGCAACTCCAATTTGAAATACAAATACGCAGTAGCTAAAATTAAGCCTTAGGCCCTGTCACACTCTGGTTCAGTACCTTTATGAGGATTAGTGTCATCTGCAGTTACCAGGTGTCAGCTAATGGAACAATACTCTTCAACACAGTAAGCACATGAGTATGAGCTGGATATACTCTTCCACTGGCTTATGGGATGACAGACGGGTCTTCCCTCTGCAAACAAGTCTTACTATTATAACGAGAACAGTTTTAATGTTGAGCTACAGCTCATTATAGAAGCTGTAACATAGCAAAACTTCAAATAACACTATATATAAAATTTATATAAAATTACAATTTTCTTAGCTATGTGTGAGTAAAAACCAGTAACTCTTATAAAAATATTTTATTGGATTCTCTAAGACAATATGCATCTTCTGAAGATCTGGTAGGAAGAGATTCATCTGAGAAAAAGATTTTCCCAGGAAACTCAGTCTTGAATAAAATGAGCCATTAAAGAGGTGTTCATGTCAACTTTCTGCCAATCTGGCAAAGATTTGTTTCCTTTGATCTGTGGTCATGTGTTCACAAGCTTCTAAGACATTCGCCAAAATTAAAGTCTGCTGAATGGTTTTTGCCTTGACCCATATTCTTCCATTCATTCCAAATACAATCTCCAATGGATAGAGTTTTCCCAGTTCTTGCACGATTTCACAATCTGGAGCTAATAGCCTGGTAGGAAAAGCAGGAAAAGAGAAATTTAGTTGTGGCTCTCTCTCCTACGAAGATTCCTTTTCTAGGTAGTTCTCCATGGCTATCCAAAGTCCCCTGAGCAAGCATCGTTCTCAAATCAAGGCACATTATGCCATCTGCTGCCAACTTTTTGTACCAGCTCCTCCCCCGGCCTTTTTTATTCGGAGATGAAGTCTAACTAGGTCACTTAACCAGTCTCAGATTTGCAGATTTGCAAACTCTCCTGCCTCTCCAGGCTGGGACCTCAGGAATGTGCCACTGTACCCAGCTCAGTGCCCCCTTTCTTCCAAGAACCTTCTACTTTCCAGGTCTGCCAGAGCTTACAATCATGTCACCAATGTTGCATAACATAAACCTATAAAGTCCCTTTCCCCTGAACACTTTAATTCTAAGACCACGCCTTTAATACCAGGACTGGGGAGGCAGAGGCAGTTGGATCTCTATGAGTTCGAGGCTGGGCTGGTCCAACAGCCTCCAAAACAATACAGAGAAACCCTGTCTCTTAAAACAAAACAAAACAAAAAATTTAGAAACAAGGTTGCTTCACATGTCAATCCCAGGTCTCTCTCCCTCTCCCTCCCCTCCTCCCACATCCTTCCACCAACCCTCCCAATATCCCCTCATTTCCCCAGGGAGTGTGAGGCCCTCCATGGGGTGTCCATAGTCTGTCATTTCATCCAGGCCAGGGCCTAGACCCTCCCCCAAGAGTCCAGGGTGAGAATGCATCTCTCCTTGTATAACTTACTTTCTAATTAGGCCCAAAGTCACTTTGAAGAGCAGACCGTCCTGTCCAATCACACCCATTCCATTGGCCCGTCCACAGCTGTCAATGCAGACCATTTCTGGTTCCATGTCTTTATTAGCAACCACACACTGGCCATAGATGAGATCTCCAACCTATGAGATGAGAAAAGTTCACTTCCCTTCGTCCAGAAATCCTAACGCTGCTGGTTCTGTTCTGTGGCAGGAATGCCAGCAACCCACAGGTCTCAGGCTAAGGGAGCTGAGTCACCGCTTCACATACCATGAAGACCTCCACCAAGAGCCATTTCAAGGTCTAAGAACACCCTTCAAAATTGCACTGTCCAACTTAATGTGGTTTAATTTAAATTTATATTTAACCTTATACGTAATTAAGACATATAAAGTTCAGTTCCTCATTGAATTAGCTCCTTTTCAGATGCTCAATAGCCACATGTAACTAATGATAGCTCTATCAGTCAGTGCAGATACAAAAAACGAAAACTAACAAAAAAAATCATTGGAGAATGTTCTATCAGTACTTACTTACAAAAAAATGATATACTTGACCACAGGAAGGAAAAACTCATGACATCCATATTCAAATGAAAATGGGACAGTGGTAATGGTAATTCAGATGTTACTTCACAGAAGATTTAAGACGTTACAAAAATGAACTTTGAAACAGAATGAACTTGGTATCTTCAACATTAAAAATTCCCACTGTTGAGAGCTGGAGAGATGGCTCACAGGTTAAAAGTATTTGATGCTAGCCAGGCAGTGGTGGTGCATGCCCCCAGCACTCGGGAGGCAGAGGCAGGCGGATCTCTGTGAGTTCGAGGCTGGGCTGGACCGACAGCCTCCAAAACAATAGAGAGAAACCCTGTCTCGTAAAACCAAAAAAAAAAAAAAAAAAGTATTTGATGCTCTTGCAAGGACCCAGGTTTGGTTCCTAGCACCCCCCCTAGCAACTCACAACCATTCATAGCTCAAGTTTTAGGGGACCTGACCTTCCTGCCTGACCTCTACAAGCAGCAGTCACACAGAGGGCAAATACATACATGGGGACAAAACACTCTCAATATGCATATATTAAAAATATTTAAGTATCCACTACTTTGGGTGACTACAAAACTTTCCACAGGGCAACAAGAATGGATAAACTCGCCGGGCGTTGGTGGCGCACGCCTTTAATCCCAGCACTCGGGAGGCAGAGGCAGGCGGATCTCTGTGAGTTCGAGACCAGCCTGAACTACCAAGCGAGTTCCAGGACAGCCTCCAAAGCCACAGAGAAACCCTGTCTCGAAAAACCAAAAAAAAAAAAAAAAAAAAAAAAAAAAGAATGGATAAACTCATAAGTTCAAGACTAAATCCATCCAGTACCATGAAAAGATACAGGCAAAGTGATGATGATGAATGACTTTACATAGTGATGCTTAGCCTGAACCTCAAAAAGATGGATGTCTCTCTCTTAGGCTAAAGAGAAACTGCAATCCAGACAGGAGCACCATTAGTAAAGACCCAAGGGAACTAAGTTCAGTGGTATTGTGAAGCGTAAGCACAGTTACATGAAATACACTAGTATGAGGGAGACCCCTGGGGATCAAGGCCAATGAATTCTGTATGATTTGAACATTTTTTTTCCTGTTAAGGAAAGGAATATGGGGGCTGGAGAGATGGCTCAGAGGTTAAGAGCACTGGCTGCTCTTCCAGAGGAGCTGGGTTCAATTCCCAGCAACCACATAGTGGCTCAAAACCATCTGTAGTGGGGGATCTGATGCCCTCTTCTGGCATAAAGTCAACAGAGCATTCATATACTTAAATAAATAAAGGGAATGTCAACAGACGGAAGCTGGGGTGTTAATGAGACCACTGCCCAGTGTTGTCAAAAGGGAGCAAATGCTTGAACTCATGGAGACAAAGCGATCGGCCCGCAAAAGATCAAGTGAGACTTGAAAGATGCCATCAGATCTCTGGCTCACATGTTTCCTCAGGAAGGGTACTGCTACACCACCCAGAAAGCCCAACCAGAAATCCTGGGGAAACAAGATCACTTCCTGGTGGGCTCCAAGGATTTAGAGTCGAGATGAACACATGACTGCCAGGACCAGTGTCCCTTAGACGAGGACCACTTTCCTTGTGATATGGATATGAACAGGTAACAAGGGGAAGCAAACATAACCCTCCAGCCGAGGAGAGAAGAACCAAGAACACAGCACGGGTTCTGGACTTGCAGCGCCTAAGGAACTATCTTGGAGAAACAGAAGGATAGTTTATGCTTTGGAGACAATTCAGGAAGCCCTCTCGACAGTTAAATTTCGGAGTAGTTATTTTTCTCATTGTTGAAACCAAAGGCTCCCATCATTACCTGCACATTCGGCCTGTTTCTTTTCGTTGCTCCTTCAAATGCCAGGTAAGACAAAGAAGCTGGCTCACTCCCTCCAACATCAACTTTGAATATATCTCCAGATTTAGCGATCACTATGCCAATCACATGGTCTCCTTTCACCGGTACGTACTACAAAACATAATGACAGAACAACCATAAAAGACACGAATACTACTGTAAACTATATTTAGCAAGTTTTATCATGGATGCTCAGGGTGGGTCTCAAACAATCCTCCCAACTCATATGAACTCAGGTAGCTGGAACTACAAAACCGGTCTACACCAGTCCAACTTTGTAGTCTCTAATGCGGAGTTGACCTGAGTCAGGTTTCATACTTCAGCATCTTTTATACAGTCGGGGGCACAAGAATCCTTACAGGCAAGGAAACGCATCCATTGGACACTTCTATGTGAAAGCTCTTACTCTGCGAGAAATTTAACTCCCTGTTATTTAGACTCCCTGCAGCTGGGACTCCAAATGGCACGCCTGCGGCTTCCTACTTTCTAGCCCTTTCTCGCCCTCCTCAGGATGCGTTTCCTCTAAAGGAGACAAAGAGAGGACCTAGGAGCTACCGCGGCTCTAGGCTTCCACTCGCAGGGGTCTTCCCGGAACTAGGGTTCCACTATCGCTGGCTGCAGCACCCGCTCACCCGCTTCTGTTGCGAATCCACCCAGTAAACGCCACCGCCGCCTCCTCCGGGCTCCTTGTGACGCAGGCGGCCACACTTGGTGACCAGCAGGCGGTCCCCGCAGCGTCGTAAACCCGGGCCACACACGACGCGCAGCCGCGGGCGCGCCCCCGAATTCAGACGCAACGGCTGCTCCCCGGCACCGCCAAGGCCGTCCACGTCCTCGTGCTCCGGCAGCACCAGCTCCTCCCCAGGGAGGACCACCTGATTCAGCACGTTGTGCGCTGCCCGCGCCCGGCAGCCGGCCACCGATCCCGTCGAAACCGACAGTACCTCGGCCATAGCAGGAGTCGTCGCAGCTTCCGGCACTCTGCTTCCGCTTCCGCATCCAAGAGCCCGCCCACCAGGGTTAGCCCTTTCCGGGTTTTGTGGGCTTTCTGAATTAGACTTCAGTCCGCCTTCTCTCTTCCCCACCCCCCAACAGCCGTATCTGTGCCCACGCACCCTGTGGTTTATCCGCGGGTGGGTGAAAGAAACGCGCCCCTCGAGTCCATCTGGAGCCCTCACATCCCGTGTCTGGGTTGAAACCCAGGGCCCCCTGGGAATTAGGTTTGGAGACTTTGCTTTCTATTCGGCCTACAGAAAGGTGGCTGAAATTTGAACTGGGGGGAAAAAAAGGGTTTGCAAAATATAACTCACTCGTTTGGTTGTTGCTACCAGTTTAAATTCTGTAAAATAAAAAAAAAAACAGAAGAAAGAACAACAGTAGGGCTGGAGAGATGGATTAATGGTTTAAGAGCACTGGCTGTTCTTCCAAGGGACCCAGCACCCACAGGACAGCTCACTGTTTGTAACTCCAGTTCCAGGGGATCTAACACCCTCACACAGATACACATGCAGGCAGAATACCAATGCATATAAAATAAAAACCAATTATTAAAAAAAGAACAACGGAAGTCGTGCCCATTTGTCTCCTTTGCTGTGTTTTCAGCTGTAGTTCGGATCATTTGTAGCTCTTGGTACCTAATAGAAGTAACACTTCTGTGTATTACTCCCTAGTCACCCCCACCCCGCCCCGTGCAACACATATCACACCTTTTCACCTGCTTGAGTTATCCCTACATGGCTTAGGAAAATCAGTAACTCAGAAAAATTCTTGCCCCTACTTCTTTTGGAGCACCCTAATTGAAGGAGAGCCCGCATCGGAGGGTAAGGATGGGGTGGCTCCCTCCTGGACCCCATTAGGGACAAATCACACTCCTCAAACACCTATTTCACAAAGAGATCCTTTATTAGTCAGGGAAGAAAATTTAAAGTGGCTCCTTTCTGACTCAGGCAGAAAAACAGCAAATGACTTTGAAGATGCAGTTTTTAAGAAGGGGTAAAAGAGGTCTGTGTCAGAATGAACTAGGATGGGGGGATATATTTAGGTTGGGCATGTTAATTAGGTGAACCAAAGGGGGTCATTGATAGCTGGACTTTGGTAGTCAGCCTCAGAAGGAGAAAGTGACCAAATAAGGGAATAGACCTTGGGGGCTAGCTTTAGGGGTATGATCTAATGGTTTTTAGCAAGGCAGAAGGAATGGGGTGGGGGATAAAGCCAGCCAGAGCATGCTTGCCATACTTGAGCTGGCCAGAGTCCCTTCACTAATAGCTAGATAAGAAACTGTTAAATCCCAAACTACAATGCAGGAACTTAAGAATTTCCAGTTTTCTGGCTTTGGAGTCATTATCTGAAGCAAACATTTCTCTCAGTTGTTGTTTCAATGAGTATTTGATTCAATTCTCCAGCAGTGCAGAGGGCCTTGACCTTGACCTATGTCCGTTACTCTTTGCTGCCAACTTCAATTTTTAGATTTGGGAACAGGACAGTCAACAGACAATGTTTCCTCCAAATTTGTCAAGATGCTGGCAAGCCATTTAATCCCTGGGTGTAGTAGGACCAACTGAAGGACAACTTGTGCTGTCAGTCGGGTTGTCAGACAGACTGTTAGGGAGTGGGCCACCGCTAGGTAACGAAGTGAATTTTCAAAATGTTGACTTCTTCACCCTCCTAACTTGATACAATCCTGGCAGCTTAAAACAAAGGCTACGCAGGCTTTCGTGTAGAGGGCACGAGGGTCACGTGCTCACAGATAGTGCTAGAATAGTTAAACACTCTGACTTTTTTCTTCAACAGAAGAAACGGACACCTGCTCACTGGTGAGGCAGAAGTGGGTGATTCTGCTCTTCTGTGGAGCCAGCTCGCACCCGACCCCCCTTTATCCTGAGCATTCCTTCTCCATCAACAGAACCCACTCTTGTGGAAGAGGTCACAGATGCTTTGCCAAAGCCATATACTTTGGAAGGGAGTTTCAAAGGAGTCATACCTTCAGCTTTGTCCTGACGATTGTCAGAAGGAAACATTTTCAAACGTTTTACAGTTTAAATATGTAATAAACTGCTCAGGGTCAGATTCCAGAAGTTTGGACTGACACTGGCTAAGTCATTTGGAACTGGGTCTCATTCTTAACTCACAGGGATCTTTCTCTGCTGGTAGCAGAGCTTGCAGGGACCCCTGTTACAGGATTCCTGCCTGGGTCCCATCGCCGCTTTAGCCCCCAAAATAACACACGGAGACTCTATTAGTTACAATGCTATCAGCCAACATCCAGGGCTTCTCAATGGCTAGTTGTGTCTTAAGTATTAACCCATAACTACAAATATATATTTCTATAAGGACTCATCTTTCTGAGGACGGCATCCTGAGGTGTCCTCTCTTCTCCAGGATCGCATGGTGACTCTCTCTTATTGACTACATTTCCCAGAATCCTCCTGACTCCTAGTCCCACCTATCTTGCATTCCTATTGGCCAACAGTGCTTTATTCATCAACATGTACACAGAAGGACTTCTCCCATCGGACCCCCACAGTTTTGTCTCCCACCAGCAGATCCCTGGTTCAACAATTTCAAGGCCTGCTCAGGACATGTCATGTAACAGTTCTGGGCCAATCAACCATCCAAGCTTTCTTCAAACTGACCAATCCTCAGTCAGGGGAGTAAGACCCTTAAAGACTTTGAAGTCCCAGCCCTCCTGAAGAGACTGGATTTTTAGGCTCTCTGACCGGCTCTACTTTGCAAGAGGGTCTCTGTGTCTGTTTGCATGTGTGTGTTTCCTCACTCCTAATAAACACCTTTCTACAACTGCTGATTCTGTCTTCCATGTTGAGGTATTTCTGCTACCACCTGTTGAGTTCCAGATTTCTCCTTCCTTTTAATTCTTTAGCTGGCAGACAAAGTGAACCCAATCAGGACCTCCAGACTGTATCACTTGGTTTGTCTCTTACGGGGCAGAGAGTCCCTGGGTAGTGGTAAATTGTTCTTCTTTCTTCCACTGCAACTCACCTCTCCAAAAGGCTTTCGGTAAGTAACTGAGCCCCAATCGGCTCAACACTATGCCTTTTAGGGCATTCAGTGACTTCAGGCCTCTTAAAGGCAGAGAGGTAAAGTGAATAATGTTCCCTCGACTGGCCCTCAGCACCTACCCCCAGGCAGATTGGAGTCTCCCGAGGAAATAAGAGTTCAAAATCTAGCGCAAGAACCATACTGGGTACATACTTTCTGGTGGGGTGGGGGGGAGAGAGGGGGAAACGCAGCGTTCATCATACTCCCGGATGCACTCAAGAAAACCAGGGAGGATGGATGAGCCATGGGAGACCCAAAGCTCAAGACCGGAAAGGGCGGGTCTTTGCAAGGACCGCCCACCGGACATGCCCAGAGGGCCTAGCGCTGGAAAACCTGCGAGGTGTGCACCGCCATGTCTGTGCTTCGACTCCTCGGGGTCCTGCGGCAGCCGGTGAGTGTTGGCTCGCCCGCGTGCAGGGAGGAGCCTGACCCTAAGCCAGCTGGCTCGTACTTCCTGGGGACTTCCGCAGCACGAGGGACAGTCTGGAGTGGGGGCAACAATCCCCTTAATGGTGGTGGACATGGCTCGGGTCATTGGGGAATAAGAGGACACTAGAAAACTGTGCAGGCCACGCGGGTGTCTCGTGCTCGATCTGGCACGAGTGACTCCCCCCCCCCCAATGGCCAGAGTAGACGAGGCTACTTCTGTACTGAGACTGTAGTGGAGGTCATTTTGGTGTTCAGACTGGGCTGGGCCATGTGGAGAGAGGGGAAGGGAAGTGGGGGAGGAACAGATGCAGCTGCCAGAAGGCCCAAGTTCCAAAGGGGCTGGTAACCAAAATGTCTGGATTATATGGGAAAGAGCCTCTTGGGAAGTGTAGTCCCACTGGAGAGTCAGGGTAGACGGCAGGGTATGCCAACCGGGTATGCCAACCATACCCTGTAGCAGACAGGGACTGAGGATACTAGAAGAGCCTGGCAGCCACATCCAGCTTTGATACGTTAAACAGACACTTCAGCTTTTCTCCTGGGTTTGAGACGTAACAACTATACGAAGATTTGTTCTGAGCAGGTTATCTGAGTAAGGCAGGCAAACTGAACGCTGGTCTTTGCCCTTGGAGAATTCATTGACTCCATAGGAAGATCCCAACATTGTGTTTGTCAGAAATAACCTGATACAGGCATCCTCTGTGTCTCCTTTACTAATATAGGGAAGAAGGTGAGGGGCAGGTCACGATATGTGTTCTACAAGAGGTAACTTTTACAGTTGACCTTTGATGATTTTAGTTTACCAGTTTCTAAAAATTAAAAATGCAGTCCACAACAACAGAAAAAAAAGCACACGAAGGAACTATTAATATCTTTATTTCAAGTATAGGTTTTAATCTGTAATTGCCCATAATTATCACACCACAAAAGGGATTAGTTGCTATGTAAGCAGAATTTTTTTCTGTCTTGGCAGTCACTCCCAAATAAGCACACAGAGGTTTACTTTTAATTATAAATACTCGCCCAATAGCTCAGGCTTATTACTAACTAGCTCTTACAACAGACCTAATCCATTTCTATTAAGCTATGTGCTGGCTCATGGCTTTTACCTCTCTTGCATGACCTTACTTTTTGGCTGGCTGGCGACTCCTCTGACTCTGCTCTTTGTCCCAGCATTCTCTCTGCCCCCAATCTGGCTTAGCTATTGAATCAGCTTTTTACTAACAATGAGAGCAGCACATCTTCACAGTATAAAAGATTATTCCACAGCATTTCTCCATTTTTGTCTAATTAAAAGGAAGGTTTTAACATTAACATACTAAAACTATATGTAACAAAAAGAGTTATCAAGTAAGAACTACAGTTACAAGATCTAGCCCATTTATGTTTGTCAAAAGTAGAGAAAATACTCTATTAATTTTATCTTTGTGAGTCTAAAATATTATACCTAATTTACCTTTTATCATAACTAAGGAAAATTATTTAGTCTTTAACTCCAGCAAAGACCCCAGAAGGGTGTAATGTTACCTAATGACAGGGACATCTGGTGACCTAGACAGTCACCCAAAGTTCTTCTGTAACGCTGGGCATCCAGCTTTGACCTATGAACCTAGTGTATCTGTCAAACATTTCTGAGAAACAGGGAATTTTGAAGAACTGTCCTACCTTTTCTTGGCAAAATTTGGTAGTTTTTTGTTTTTGTTTTTTGTTTTTTTTGCATCCTGTTGATCCAGTTTGGACAGTGTTCTGTCAACATTTGAAGCAAGGCAGTTTCCCCAAATGGCTAGCTTTTGCCAGTAAGAAAGAAAACTCCATATGAAGGTTCTTCAATGCCCATCATTCTTTTTTTTTTCACATCATATTCTTTTGAAATAAATTAGTGCTGACAGGAGCAGACATGTCTCACTGTCATGAAAATCCTTAAGTTATTAAACATATAATCTACCCTTTTATCTCATCATTTCTATATTACATCCTTTTTGTTTCAGAAAGAGAGCTTTGAATCTAACTCCTTTGCTTAGTTTTTTTTAACCTTACCATGACCAATAATAATCTGCAATCAACCCCTCCTAAAGAAAGACAAACATCCATAACCCATCTTTTGGGAATGTGGGTGTTTGATGTGGAAGTCCTGTGTATATGTCAATAAAGCACTGTTGGCCAATAGGGAAGCAAGATAGGTGGGACAAGGAGTCGAGGAGGACTCTGAGTAGGAGAAACACAGAGAGTCAAGATGTAACCGCCATAGGGGTAAGAAGAAATACTTAGATTAACAATTATAGGATAAATACTTAAGTCAGAGCTTACCAGAAAGAAACAAGTAAGGCCAACAGCTTCATAATTAATACAGAATCTTGTGTGTTATCTGGGGACTACAACCCGACAGAGCCCAGGCAGACAAGGAAAAGGCTTCTCTCTACAAGTGTTGTTTTCTCTAGACTGCTTCCTGTTGACTGAGGGAGCTGGCATCTTTGAGGGATACTTGAGAAAATCAGGGTAATTGTTAAATCTTGACTGGAGAATTTGGAGAGGCTGGACCATCTTAGCCAGCATCCTTGGAGCTGTTCTAGATGTAGAACTCCAAGGAAACTACAACAGAGGCATTTTGAGATGCTGGATCACCTGGGCTATTTTTCATTGGTGTCTGGTGCCCTTGCTCTGACAATACATAAACTTTAAAGGTAATTTACATTACAAGTATGGAATATGTGGTGTTCACAAATCAGTTAAAGATGACTTTTTTGTTTTATGTTTAAGCAGGTAAAATATACATTACCACTTGTAGGTCATTTTAGTTTTATTTTTTTATGTTTGTAGTCAGGATTTTCAGGGGGGGGGCTTCCTCAATCAAACCCAATCCATATTAACCTGGAACGAATTCACAGTCACTCATCTCTGTAGAAATAAGAGCATAACCTCTTCCCCAAAGTAACATATCTTTTGACTTCCATTTTGAAGTCAAGGCATTTTTAAAATACATAGGTTGATTTAATTTAGCAGTTTTCATAATCCAATATGTAGCTGTCATTCCTTCATTAGAAGTCAGAAAATCTAAAGGATTGTAGAGGAAATATAACAGCACATGGGATATGGATATTGTTGGTTACTTATTGTAGGAAATTACTTATATGAGAAACCAAAAACTCAGGTTAGTCTCTGCAGCCTTTCGAGACCCGACTGGAACCCCAAAAGAAAGCGAGTGCCCCTCTTCTCAGCCCTTTATTTCACACACCCATACACACCTGCGACCACACCCAAAACAGGAGTGGTCAGCACCACAGGTACCTAAATCTCTCCCTACAGACAACACAAAAACATATAGAATCCAGACTCTGTGTATTTCCCATCTTTATGTGGCTTACTTTTTAACTCTATTCCTTTGTTAAGGACTTTATTATTTTTAAACTATTTTTTTAATCTATGACTATTGCTATCCTTTCTCTTTTGTCTCCTAAATCTATGTATATTTTTCAAGCATACTGTAACACATTTGGAGGATTTTTTCCAATCTGGATCTGTCTTTACTGAGCACTGTACTGTCTTTTTGATCACATGAGATGAAATTTAAACTCTATATTAGTCCCCAGCATAGCTCAGCTTAGTGCATGGCATTGGTGGCTGGCTGTTCCTCCCACCTCTTGTTTCCCAGAGAGCTTAGCTTTATGGCAGAGGTACTAACAAGAGCCACATTTACCGCCCCAGCTTGGGGAGTTTGGGGTTCACACTGCCATCAAGTAGCATGCCACCAGCTGCTCAAAAACCCCCTTTAAGTGTTCATTTATAGGTCCTCTTAAAAGAGCTGTGCTCTCTAGCACTGAGCCAAGGAGGCGTGAGCCACCAATGCCCGGCTCTTTCCATTTTCTGATGTCTTCTTTCTTCAAAGACTTAATGTTCTTATCATACAGGTCTTTCACTTGTTTGATTAAAGTTATCCCAAGATATTTTATGTTATTTGTGACTACTGTAAAGGGTGATGTTTCTCTGATTTCTTTCTCAGTCTGTTTATCATCTGTATATAAGAGGGCTACTGATTTTGTTGAGCTAATCTTGTATCCTGAAGGTGTTTATCAGTCGTAGGAGTTCCCTGGTAGAATTTTGAAGTCACTTATGTATACTATCATATTAGCAAATACCAAAAGTTTGGCTTCTTCTTTTGCAGTTTGTATCCCCTTGATCTCCTTTTGTTGTCATATTGCTCTACAAAATCAAGTACTATATTGAAGAGATATGGAGAGAATGGACCTCCTTGTCTTGTTCCTGATTTCAGTGGGATTGCTTTAAGTTTCTCTCCATTTAGTTTGATGTTGGCTGTTAATTTGCTGTATGTTGCCTTTATTATATGTAGGTATGTTTCTTGTATCCCTGCTCTCTCCAAGACTTTTATCATGAAGGGGTGTTGAATTTTATCAAAGGCTTTTAGCATCTAATGAGATGATCATGTGGCTTTTTTTCCTTTAGTTTGTTTATATGGTAGATAACATTGACAGATTTTAGTATGCTGAACCATCTCTGCATCTCTGGGATGAAACCTACTTGATCATGGTGTATCATGGAAATATTAAGCTACACAATGTAGGCATGTCCTGTAATACTTTATTGAGGGAGAAGTCACTTACATGAGAAGCCAAGAAAGTCGAGAGCCAAAGGTCAGCACACTACTCACAACTGGAACCCATAGAGAGTGTCCTTCCCCCCAGCTCTTTTATCCCCCATACGTTCTGTGAACCTGCAACCACACCCAAATGGACGTGGTCAGCGCTATGGGTATGTAAGATCTCTCCCTACAATTTCCCTTCTAGTCTAACTAAAAGATTTAGAATTAAAACAAAACTAAATTGTCTCAGACATATATAAAGCATATATAGATAGAAGATGATAAACAAATTGTAATCTACCTATATACTATCCTAAGCATATCTATCCCATCTAAACACTAAACTTATCTGAAAGAGATGCCCAAGT